ATTTATCATCATTGAATTTAAAATCTAATCATATGATATTTATCACCATTGAATTTAACGTCGAACCCTAAGGTTGAATTCTACTTTATGCTATTTATTGTCATTGAATTTGAAACCAAACCTACGATCGGATTCAAATATGAAAAAATGGTACATTTATATTTGATATAGAGTATCACCACATGCTATTTATCATCATTAAATTTAAAATCGAACCATGGTCGGATTCCATGGTGAAAAATGGTGCAGTAATCTATATTTGATATACATTATTGAATAACACATATTCGAAAAAGTTTGGACCTTTTTAAAATTCCCTTCATTTTACAGATCCTTGTTGATTTTGAACATTGTTTGTGAAGGAATCAGGCTTTTGACGGGTCAACCCTTTTTATATGCTGCTTTCCCTGAAAGAAAAATGAGCTTTACTCCTATGGGCGCTCCCATAGTTTGATCCTAAGAAGGCTAAGTGACTTAATTAGAATTTTGGTTATATTGAATGGAAGAGATCTTGACCGTGCATTTTGCCTCTAGATATTACTAAATGTTCACGTCTTTGAATGAAATGACGCAAAACAGCCGTCTTCGCAGAAGAAGTTCATTCTCCTCGAAACATGCATCTTCGAGAATCGACACATTTTACAAGAAATAACACGTTGAAAGTCTTGTGAGCAGTGACACAAAATCAACGGACTGTACACTACATAGTCCACACACACACACACACCACTCTCTCGAACTTTATTTTTATTGACTTGCCGTTTTTCAGTTCATTTGTCATTTACGTGGGTCACAGCTGATCAGCACCTAAAAAAACAACACAGAGAAAAAAAAAAAGAGCGAAGATGGCCTCAGAGGGTGGTGCATCGTTGCCGTCGTCTGGTTCCGACGCGAGAAAGCGACGGGTGTCGTACTTCTACGAGCCGACGATCGGCGATTACTACTATGGCCAGGGCCATCCGATGAAGCCCCACCGTATCCGCATGGCCCACAATTTGATTGTTCATTACTCGCTCTACCGGCGGATGGAGATCACCCGCCCTTTCCCGGCTGGCCCTGAAGACATCTGCCGCTTTCACTCCCCTGAGTACGTTGATTTCCTCTCATCCGTCACCCCTGAGACCCTCCACGACCAAACCCATGCTCGCCACCTCAAGAGGTTCAATGTTGGCGAGGACTGTCCCGTTTTTGATGGGCTTTTCTCTTTCTGCCAGTCCTCTGCCGGTGGATCCATCGGCGCCGCCGTCAAGCTGAATCGTCAGGACGCTGATATCGCTATCAATTGGGCTGGTGGGCTACACCATGCAAAAAAAAGCGAGGCTTCTGGGTTCTGCTATGTCAATGACATAGTGCTGGGAATTCTGGAGCTTCTCAAGTTCCATAGGGTAATACATGAACTATGGGTCATTCAATTGCTCCATACCTGTTTCATATAGTGTTATTCATCTCAATTTATATGACCACCTTTGAATTTCAATGTTGTTATTGGTGTTAAGTTGCTTATCTAATTTTTTGTCTGCTCATGTTAGAGATTTTAGAACAGTAAAAGTTTTAGTTTTTTTTCCTTTTGTTTTTTGGAGTTCAGTTTTGAAAGTTTTTGTTTTTATGTTTTTCCTTTTCTTGTCAATTTCATGAGACAAGCTTCTCAAATGCGGAAGTGATTAAAGATATCAACAGAGGCTGCTCAATGCACCATTTAGGATAAGTGATTGAATTATTATTAATGATAAACCTGAAAGGACAGAAAAGATGTGGGATAAAGCTATGTTGATTTGTGATTTCCTTGTTCTCCATAACAACAAAACATGGTTTTGTTTTTGTTTTTGTTTAAATTTTGTCTTCTCTTCCTGGCCAGTGAACACACTCATCATTTTAGTGAGCGATGCTATCATTATGACAAGCCATCGGTTTATTTTCTTGAGTTTTATTTTTAGATACTTCAAGAGTTAATATTATTGATTGCTTGTGATTAATTTTTCAAGGAATGTGCTTCAGTTATTTGGTTTATTCTGATTGCTTGCAACTAAAATTATTATAATTTACAATACAAGTACGTTTTCAGTGGGTTTATTTACTGTTTTTGCTAATTGCTTTCTTAATGACAGCGTGTGCTTTACGTAGACATTGATGTTCACCACGGAGATGGTGTTGAGGAGGCTTTTTATGTCACTGACCGAGTAATGACAGTGTCTTTCCATAAATATGGGGAATTTTTCCCTGGATCTGGGCATATTAAAGATGTTGGAGCTTATGAGGGAAAGAACTATGCTCTTAATGTTCCTCTTAATGATGGAATGGATGATGAGAGCTTCCGTAGTTTATTTCGTCCAATCATCAAAAAAGTCATGGAGGTCTACCAGCCAGATGCTGTTGTTCTTCAATGTGGTGCAGATTCGTTGGCTGGTGATAGGTTAGGGTGCTTCAATTTATCTGTTAAAGGGCATGCAGATTGTCTTCGTTACCTGCGATCTTTCAATGTTCCTCTTATGGTGTTGGGTGGTGGAGGGTATACCATGCGGAATGTTGCCCGCTGTTGGTGCTATGAGGTCTCTCTCTCTCTCCCGAGTGTGCGTGAATTGCCCTTGTCACGTGTGTATTTGTGTGCTGTTGCTTACGTTTTTTCTCCCTTTCAAATTGATCATTCATAATTACGTCAGGAGTATCTTCTGAAGTATAATTTGTTTCTTTGTTGCAGACTGCCGTTGCAGTTGATGTGGAACCCGCGAATGAATTACCTTACAATGAATATTACGAGTACTTTGGCCCGGATTATACTCTTCATTTGGAACCAAAACCAATGGATAATCTGAATTCACCAAGAGATCTGGAGAAGATCAGGTACATTGCACTACATTTAATTCACACTTACATATTTGGATTAAGATTCTGATTTTTAGTACCTATGATGGAAGAGACGTAATGCACACTGGTATCTCCTGTTGCTAAAACTTCAGATATTTCACCCCCCTTCAAATTTTATCTACTGGTCTATAGAATCTAACGTATATAGCAATCTACTCATACACTGATTCTTACCCTGTTCTGTTACATTTTCACCTTGGAGACGTGATTTTTCCTGCAGTCTTGCCGCATCACTATTCTCCATTGCTTACCATCAACCCAGCCCTTCCTTTGGAGACCCCTGGTTGTCACAATCACTATCCATGCTCTATCCCTTCTATCATTATATGGCTGACCTCAGTAATCCCCATCTTTTCATTTGTGCCACCTTTGTTACCCATACAAATCAACCATCTACATGACGTCTGATATCAATTCAAGTTTCTGTTGAGTCATAATAGCTAAAATTAGTAGCTTTAGTTAGTTGAAAGACAGATACATTTATTACTCTGTACAAAGCACAGCCATATACATTTATTACTCTGTACAAAGAGTAAGCCTAATCAATATTTTGTGCTGCATTGAATTAACAAATGTTTGATTTTAGTTTCATGGTCTGAGAGCTGTAATGTTGATTCCTGTATTGTTTATGAGGTTGTTGTCATTATGGTATGTACCCATATTTAAAGCATGAAAGTGGTTCAAATATCATCAGTTCATGGTAGGTTTTTCATCTCAAGCTGAAGCACAATTTACTGTCTGCTTCAACCTGTTCTTGAAAAAGTTGTGACTTGTGTCTGTTACAGTTTGCATCTTTCTATTAATCCTCTACTCTGCCTCGTCCGTTTCAATAACTGTGTTTCTTTTCTAAATTTAGCTGTTAACTTAAAGGACATTAATAGCAAAGTAGACATTTATCGTTCTTTGCTTTTCCTATTATTTGCTTTTTCCAAGTTGGTCGATAAATTTACAGGCTTTGACAGCATTTAAAATTCCATTCACAGATGCTGCGTTGCTTCCATTTATTTAATATCACCGTTCATTTTATGTGACAATATAAAGAGAAGTGGAATAAAGCAAGTATTTAAAATGTCATTACTGAAAGATGTGTGAATGACTATTCTAGTACGAATGACCATGCACAATAGTCATTTTATGTGACAATATTTAAAATGTCATCCACATCTGCTGTCTTGCTGGCTCGGAGGATTTCTTGTCTATTTTTGGCATAATTAGCGCCATTATTTGGCCAAAACAACGTTTTGAATAGTGATTTTAAGGAGAATGTGTGATTAAAAAGTAGAGAAGTTTTGGGTGTACGTGCTGAATATTTTAATGTGTGAATGTGTGGTTGAAAATGAGTATATAGAAAAAAGACTTTTCAAATATTGGTTGTCAAACAGGGGCTTAACGGAGTCGTGTGTGAAATAATTTTGATGAATATTGGAATTGCAGAAATTTCCTGCTCGCTCAAATTTCTAAACTACAGCATGTACCCGGCGTACAATTTCAAAAAACGTCCCCAACTACAGAAGTACCAGAAGAGGTGAGTATAGCAGTGCCAAAGGCCCTCTATCGTGTTATATGATTTAATTTAAATATTTTGCATATAATCTTATCTCACTGGAGGATGTCCATTTTCAGAGAGAACAACACATGGAAGCGAGAGCGAAACCCCGGATTTGGAATGGCGAGGTTTACGAGTCTGATGATGATGAAGATGAAGATATGAAGCTTCTGCTGTGAAGTTTAGATAGAAAATTGTACCTTTAAGACAAAAACTGAACTGAGGTATGGTCTGAGATTGACATCTTCAGCACATAGGGTTTGTTAAATGTTTTCCAGAGTACTTTGTTTGAATAAGGGGCAGTTCTCTGAAACTCATCTGAGTAACATATAGCTGTGTTTCTACCCTTGGTTATACTTGTTGCCTTCACTTTTAAAGATTAAAGAGTACACAAAAACTTTTCTTACAAATCAGTGGAAGAGTGAGAAAAAGGTGACTTCTATATATGTGCATCAATAAATGGCTCTAATCCTATGCACATGCATTCATATTCAGCTACACCTGTTCTCTTAAAAACATGGAAACAAAGCGAGAGAAAAAGAGAATATGAGACTGGAAGTAGTAATTCTAGCAGAGGCTAGTGGCAATGTAAACAATGCAGATGTATCATGTAGAGACGCCTATATGTCAAAAAAGGGTAAATTACTCTTGATTGTAATTTTAAGGTAGTTTATGGTTTATTACGAGTATAACTTTGTATGATCATAAATATTTGAATTATTTAATTGGTTTACGTTGAGGCTTAAGCCCGTGTCTCGAGGTTTAAGCTTTCCCTCGTGGACGCAAAGCGCCTTGTTTACCCAATTTTTAGCCTTTTAAACCCGCATGTAAGTTCTTTTGTTGTTCATGGATTACTAATTCATCAATATTAAGTGCAAGGGGGTTGGCCATCATTGTGTTGACTATGGCGCTTCCAAGAATATTTTCTATTGCCTGTTATGGTTGTAAGTCTTTGTAACTTAGGGCCTGTCATGGCTTTATAAGCCAGTTAGCAAAGAAGATGACATCGTATTTGCATGACGAACAGGGCGTTTTATCTTTCCACGATTCTCGAATATGCATTTTAATATTGATCTTTAGGGTTTACATCAGCGAATATTATTGTGACAAATTCAATCCAAAAATTATTTAATAATTAAAGTAAAAAAGCGTTAAAAAGTGTAAAAGTATGTGTTTCGCGCGGTTACTCGCTAACAATTAAAAAGGGATCAGACGATTGTGTAAGGTACAAACCTCTTGGAACAAAGTCCCAAAAAGGGGTGTTTATCGAATATGAAGATTACAGTTTGGATGCGAACAAGATGCCTCCAAGGGTTGCAAGCACACAAGTACAAGGGGATTGAAGTAATTAAAGTTAATCTAAGAAAAAGTAAATTACATATTCTCTGTTTGAGAGTGAATTTTGTCTGGCTTCTTTATTGCTTTCCCCTTCCTTTTATACTCCTTGGACAGTTCTCGACTGTTTGGACTCTTCTTATAACTACCC